AGAGAGAGAGAGAGAGAGAGAGAGAGAGAGAGAGAGAGAGAGAGAGAGAGAGAGAGAGAACGAGAGAGAGAGAGAGAGTAGAGGGGGGGAGGGCTAGCAAAGCGAAAGTTATTTTAAGCAGAAGAAATTGTCAAAGTTACTCATGCAAATTATGGGATAGGACTTGTTGGTACCCCTTTTGTGTAGGGGTGAAGCAAAAAGCAACGTTGATGATTGTTTATCAATGTAAGCGGTATGTACAGAAATTAAAATTGATAGGTATTAGCTTATCAAAAGACATTTTTTATAGCAAAGTTATAGACTGACAGAAATCACTGGTGCAGGATTAATCATCTAAGTGTTTGGTTTTTATGAAAAATTAGTCAGTCTACGTATATAAATAGGAAATGACGTACATATTGAAGGTGTAGCAGTAGCAAAGTGATGGAGGAGAGAAGGATGAACACATGAGAAAGATTGAAGGACAAGTTGAAATAATGAAGGTAAGTGTAACATTTGTATGAATAAAACTAGAGAACGTACAATATTTTTTTGTATTTGTATATGCTACAAAAGTTTCTCCTTGTGTTTATCTTTTTCTGTTTCTTTCACTCACATCACACACACACATAAATTTACAATGAACCTGTCAGGCCGCTGCTACACAACGTCACACTGGATCGCTCACACTTCTATCTAGTTGCTAATGGGACCACGCTCAAGGTGTCCCAAGTGACCTAGTTCGTAATAAAAGTTTATTTTTAATTTAAACCAGTAATTTGTTTAATCTTGTTTTTGTCAAAACTGAATTTCACCGCGCACTGAGTTTTGTCGATCCTCGGTTCCGTTGTGTTTCCTTCTCTGGTACTCACGGCGGTTACACATAGACACCTACATATGCACACCTACAAAAGGACCGGTCCCCCAAATTTTTTTGCCGCCTAAGAACCCACTTTGCGTCCTGGTCGCCCGCCGATAAAAATGTGACACGTTGACACAGACGCAGAAACCCACTTGAAATGTATCTATTGTAATGAAGTTTTTTTTTCCTTTTTTTTTTTTTGTGTGGTGGTGGTGGTGGTATTGATGGTGGTTGTGGAGTTTCTTGTGCAGGTGCTTGATATACGAAATGTGATGTGTTATTACAAATGTGTCGGTGTGGATAATCAGCAGGGAAGTCATGTGTTGATACATGCGCTACGCCCCTCAACGACTACACGCCAGACATCCCTGCTTGGGATGATGATATAGTCTGAACTTCGTGGCGACACGAAGGCTACAGACATTGAAACCAAGGCGACCTGTGAGCTTGCTCGATTAATGGCGGTGTTAGATTCTTGTATTTTGTATTAAATATTGGCATTTCTTTGTTAAAAAACTCATTGTAATTGTGACCTGTTGTTCTTTTTAAATATAAAGAAGTTTTAATCGGTGGTGGTTGGTGGTTTTCTTTAACGTGCCAGATTGTTACTTTTGAACGGTATTTGAATATCATTTTTCTAGCATTGTCAATGTTTTTTGTTAATACATTTATTATGTTGTCAAGTGTTGATGTGTTATATAAATCTTTGTCTGCTAAATAGACATCTAAAATATTATCTCTTTGTGTTGTTATTCGTTTTTCTGTGTATACAACAATACCTTCTTGTCTAATAGATAGCTCGGTCTTTGATCATGTCGCTCGTATGTCAGTCATCCAGTCTCTGCAACTTTCAACTGTAGTGAGAGTTGTTTCTGAAATATATCGAACTTGTTGTATGTCTTTGTCGATTTGATCGCGTTTCCTCTTGAGTGTTTCACTATCAGACCTGTAAAACAAAAAATACATGTAACGAATATGAGTATGGAATCGTAAACATGTTATTTGTATTTGTTATATGTGTATAAAATTATAAATATGTTATTTTATTGGTAATTTGTTTTTGGTTTTTGTTGTTTTACTATTTTTTGTAGGGTAATCGGCGTTTGGATGTGTATTTTACATAATCAACAACTTATTAAAAAAAAAATAAGTTTGGACTTTGAATGGGACCTTTAACACCTTTACGTACAAAGGTTGGCTTAAAGACCTTTGTACGTATGGGCTGGTTACTTTTATTATTTGCATTGTTTTTTTTTTTTAATTATAAAATATGTTTTTGATAGAGATACTGATAAATACTTACGATGTATTAGTATTGTTTTGTTGATTGTCTTGACTTTCTGTATATTTTTTTTCCGTACTCCATGATGCTATACAAATAAAATAGACAGAAGACAATAAAGAATATGTTAGTTTTTTTTTCATATTTTTTTAGAAATAAAGTATAATATGCATACGTGTTTGTTGAAACTATTTTTGCAAAGTTGAAAGTATAGAGGTTTGTTTTTGATAAGTGGTTAGAAAGCTTACCGAAGTAAAATTTTGTATCAAGAATTTGTACGTAGTCGAATGGATAGTCGCGAAAGCTTTTCAAAGGCAGTTCATATATTTTTTGTTTTTTTTATAATGTTGGTTGTTTTTTTTAATTAATACATTTTTTAAATTAAATATTATTAAAATATTTTATGTTATTCGAAGTGCATTGGTTTATTGTTCTATTGTATTTGTTATTTTAATAAATAATTTGCAAATATATTTTTATGTTGTATATTATTTATTTGGGTGAGGATATATTTTTAGTAGTTGGTTTGTTTGTAGTTTGTTATGTAAGAAAGATCTATAATATATAATATATTTTTCAGTGAAATTATTAACATGTTGTTGTGAATTTGGAAGTAACAAATGTCGTATCATTAGTAATATAAACAGTCCACAATCAAATTCATTATTGAATAGGTCCATCAATATAAAGTGATTCTGCATTGGTTAAATTTGTTTGAGTAAAAAACCATCTTTGTATTTTTTCAAAATATTGTTTGTTTTTTATTTTTTTACTATTTTAATAAGTTATGAATTGTTGAAGTAAATTAATGTATCCCAATGTCCAATGATTTTCATTGATATGACATGGAGAAAAAAAATGATGGAAGGTGGATAAAGGTTTATTGTTCATTCTAATTGCAAGGTACTGTTGTGTTTTTGTAGAATCACTTGGTTGTATGCAACATGTGTAGAAAAAATCCTCTGCTGTAAGCACTAATTTATAGTTTTGCATTATTAAATTAATGTATTCGTTTATATTATCGCTATCTAACTATGCAGTTGTGTGAAATAAGTAGTTTTTCCAAATTAATATTTTTTCATTGTTAACCAGGGTAACCGGCGTTCGGGACGGACTGAACGCCCGAACGTATGGGACCCCTTGGGGATGCGTTCGGCCATCGGGGCCGAACGTGGCCAAAAAAAAAAAAAAAAAAAAAAAAAAAAAAAAA